CGGAGGGACTACAGAGACTCATCTGGCCCTTTGACTACTACCCTATGCTGCTGATCCATGTGGGCATCAATGATACTGCCAGGGGAGACCCTGAGCATATCAGCAGTGACTACAGGTCTCTGGGTGCAAGGGTGAGGGGGTCTGGAGCTCAGGTTGTGTTCTTGTTGATTGTTACAGTCAAGGGAAAGGGCCCCAGAAGGAGCAGGTGCATCCTGCAGACCAACACCTTGCTGCACAGGTGGTATTGCTAGCAGGGCTTTGGTTTCTTCAAACATGGGATGTTTTTTCCAAGACGAAAGATTTCTGGGAAGAGACAGGATCCACCTGATGAAAAGAGGGAAGAGCATCTTCACAGAGAGGCTCACTGACCTCAAGAGAAGAGCTTTAAATTAGGTTTGCTGGGGGATGGAGACCAAAGCCCTGAGGTAAGTAGGGAAGCAGGAGACCTGGAGGGAGAGGAAGCAGGAGGGGGCAACAGGGGAGGTGCTCTCATACTTCCTGAGAAATCAGGACAATCAAGTGGTTACCTGTACACGAATGCACTTAGCCAGGGAAACAAGCAGGAAGAACTGGAAGTCCTCGCACAGTCACGGGGCTGTACTTCAAAGAAGCCTTACTGAGAGTGCAGGAACAAACCATCCTGATGTGCAGAAAGACTAGCAAGTATGGCAGAAGACCAGTTTGACTTAGCAGGGAACTCTTCAGTAAACTAAGTCATAAAAAGGAAGCTTATAAGAAGAGGAAACTTGGACAAGTAACTAGGGAAGAATATAAGAGCATTCCTCGGGCATAGAGGAATGAAGTCAGAAAGGCCAAAGTGCAATTGGAGTTACAACTAGCAAGGGATGTAAAGGTAACAAGAAGGGTGTCTACAAGTATGTTGGTAGCAAGAGGAGGACCAGGGAAGTATGGTTCACTTACTGAATGGGGGAGGCAACCTTGTGACAGAGGATGCAGAAGAGGCTGAAGTGCTCAGTGCCTTTTTCACCTCAGTCTTCACAGGTAAGGTCAGCTCCCAGACTACTGCACCTTGCAGCACAGTTTGGGGAGGAGGTGAGCAGCCCTCAGTGCTGAAAAAGCACGTTAGGGACTACTGCACTTAGAAAAGCTGGATATATAAAAGTCCATGGGGCCAGATGGGAGGCACCCAAGGGTGCTAAGGGAGATGGCTGATGTGATTGCAGAGCCACTGATCATCATCTTTGAAAACTCATGGTGATCAGGAGAGGTCCTGGATGATTGGAAAAGGGCAAACTTAGTGTCCATATTTAAGAAAGGGAAAAAGGAGGATCCAGGGAGCTAAAGACCAGGTAGCTCCACCTCAGTCCTTGGAAAAATAATAGAGCAGATCCTCAAGGAATCCATTTCTAAGCACTTGGAGAAGAAAATGGTGATTAGGAACAGTCAGCATGGATTCATCAAGGGCAAGTCATGCCTGACCAACCTGATTGCCTTCTATGACAAGGTGACTAACTTTGTGGATGCAGGAAGACCAGTGGATGTGGTGTACCTCCATTTTAGCAAGGCTTTTGATATGGTTTCACACAACGTTCTTGCAGGCAAGCTAAGGAAATATGGGCTGGATGAGTGGACTGTAAGGTTGATAGAAAACTGGCTGGAGCATCAGGCTTAGAGAGTAGTAATCAATGGCTTGATGTCTAGTTGGCAGCCGGTATCAAGTGGAGCACCCCAGGGGTTGGTCTTGGAGCTGATTTCATTCAATGTCTTCATCAACGACCGGGAAGATGCCATAGAGTGCACCCTCAGCAAGTCTGCAGATGACACCAAGGTGGGGGGAGTAGTAGATACACTGGAGGGTAGGGCTAGGATTCAGAGTGACATAGACACATTGGAGGATTGGACCCAAAGGAATCTCATGAGGTTCAACAAGGACAAACGCAAAGTCCTGCACTTAGGACAGAATAATCCCATGCAGCAGGACAGGCTGGGGGCTGACTGGCTGGGCAGCAGCTCTGCAGAAAATGACCTGTGGGTTACAGTGGACAATAAGCCAAATAGGAGCCAGCAGTGTGCCCTTGTTGCCAAGAAGGTTAACGGCATCTTCAGGAGAGATTCTGCCAGGCCTAGGGTCAGGGAGGACCGAGTTAGAGAACTTCTGGAGGTGCTGGACATGTTCAGATCAGCAGGTGCAGATGCTCTTCACCCCAGGGTGTTGAGGGAATTGGCAGGGGTTATCACAGGACCCTTGGAACAGCTTTACGAGCACTTGTGGTGCTTTGGCCAGGTGATGGATGACTGGAAGAGGACCAATGTGGTCCCCATCTTAAAAAAAGGGAGGAGAGAGGACCCGGGCAACTATAGGCCCGTTAGTCTTACTTCAATCCTGGGGAAACTCTTTGAGAAGATTATGTTTAAGAGGAGGCTTGACAATTACCTAGCTGGGGTCATTTGAGCCCAGTTTTCTTTCCTGCTCAGGGCAGGGGGTCAGACTAGAAGATCTGCAAGGTCCCTTCTGTCCCTACATCTATGAATCTATGAATCCTGGGCTGCATTGGTAGGTGTTTTGCCAGTTGGTCAAGGCAAGTGCTATTCCCCTCTATTCAGCACTGGAGAGGCCATATCTGGAGCACTGTGCTCAGTTTTGGGCCCCCCACTACAGAAAGGATGTGGACAAATTTGAGAGAGTCCAGCGGAGGGCAATAAAAATGCTGAGGGGGCTTGGAGACATGACTTATGCAGAAAGACCAAGGGAACTGGGCTTATTTTAGAGAAGAGAATACTGAGGCAGGATTTAATAACAGCCTTCAACTACCTGCAGGGGGGTTTGAAAGAGGATGAAGCTGAACTGTTCTCAGTGGGGGCAGGTGACAGAACAATGGCACAATGGTCTCAAGTTGCAGCAAGGGAAGTGTAGGGTAGATATTAGGACAAATTTGCTCACTAGATGAGTAGTAAAGCACTGGAACAGGTTACCCAGGTAGGTGGTAGAAGCTCCATCCTTGGACATGTTAACACCCTAATAGACAAACATTTGGCTGGGATGATCTAATTGGGGCTGGTTCTACTTTGAGCAGGGGGTTGGACTAGATGTGACCTCCTGAGCTCCATTCTAGCCCTATCTTTCTATGTTTCTATAATCCCTTTCTGTATCTCATGGCGTTCTTGTGAACCACAGAGTTCTTCAGCTCATCTTCCCTGAATTGGTCTAGTCCCACGACTAAACTAGGATCCTCTACCCACAGCTGCCATCCATGACCTCATCTTCCTCCCCACTCCTGTCTGGGTGTGGACCAGGCTCTTCTGTGTCTCTAGCAGACTGCTTGACCTCTTCTAGCACCATGGCCTTTCTGTTCTGAGTTTGTGCTCTCCCCTGAGAGCTGGGTCAGATATTTCTCTTTTACCACCATCTGGCCCAATGTCACAAACTCCTCCCACCTCAAGAAAGCTCTTAAATACTTAAATGACTGACCCAGGCCTCTATTCAGAGATGGGCCTGAGAAATACCTTGTCTCCAGAGGTCAAAGTATAGGGACAGAACAGCATTCATGGTACAACAGCACTCATAACAACGTCCCCACCTAACCCAGGGCTCCGAGAGATGCCCCAGCAACCCCTCCTTCCCACCCAGGGGCCAGGGGGTGTAGAGCCTGGAGGGCCCCAAGCAGCCCCTTGCAAGCTGGAACTCCGACAGCCTGCAAGGGAAAAGCCACGGTTTCCCACATTCCTCCTTTAAAGGAGAATTCATTTTTAAAGTTTGTTCATGAACCTTTCATATATTCTTGCAACTCACTTTTGGGTTACAAACCACAGGTTGAGAAACACTGTCTAGGGCCTTTGATGACCCAAGTCAGCTCTGTGGCATTACCTGGAGGCTGTCACGTACAGCAGGCTTTGCAGGGAAACCTGTCATGTCCCACTGCTCACATCCATACACACGCCCAGCTGTGCAGAGTTGTCACCGTCCCTATGTGGTGAGCCTGGAGCCAGGCTGACCATTGGGAGGGCCTGCACTGGGCTAGTCTGCACCCTGATGCGGCATGGCCCAGGCATGCAGGTGTTTTCCTGGATTATAAGGTGGGCATGGTCTCGTTTTACAATGTGACTGACAGGTCCAATGTCTTCACTTTCGCTGACACCTTCTCCAGGACTCTGCACCTTTTCTTCTGATCTCATCTCAATGCTGGGGGCACCAATGCAGCTCCTCTGATCCTGTTCCTGGTCCCAGCCCAGCCCTGAGGGAATCCCTGTCACTGTCATGACACATGCACAGACTGTCCCCTCCCAGCCCTGCCCGACTGCCAGCCCCTCAGGTGCCCCCAGGGTTAGGGTGGGGCAGGGGCTGGGGTCTCCCAGTCTCTGGAGCTGTTTGTGCCTGGGCCCTGCTGCTTCCCTGCACAGAGCTGCAGGCCCTCAGCACCGCTTGGGCTAATGCCCAGCATCCCCTCAATCATGGACTCGGTGATCCATGGAGCCAGTCATGGTCCCTGATTCTCAGACTGCCCCAGGGGCTACTCTGACCAACTCCAGTTGACTATGGTCCAAGGGGAGGGGAGTGTACACTGATCTACTCCAGCACAGCCCCTGCCCTGACACCAACCCCAGAATAGCAGGTGGCAGCTTGCCCAGGTGCTGGTTACCCTGCTCCATGCCAGCTGAACCCTACCTGTGTCCGGGATGCGCTATCAGGGCCAGATCCAACCAACTGCCTAACCTTGGCACAAAGGGCCTGGAGCAGAAGGAGGGTCTGTCCTTTGTCCAGTTCTTCCTCCCTTGCACCTATGAGTGATCCCCATGGGGGCAGCCCCACTGGCTTCCAGGTCTGGTGGTGGGTGGGCCTCACAGGGCAGATGCTATAGATCAGAGGCCTGAGCTGCTTTGGGGACCTGATCCTGCCATCTGCACCCAGGCAGCATTGCTGCTGAAGCCAGCTCTGGCTGTATGTAGCACAGGGGCAGCTTTGCAAGTGAGGATCACGGCTACTGACTGATCAGTTTTTATTTTCTGTCCTCCTGCTGTCCTTCCTCGGGACTCTTCACCAGAGCGGGGTAAGTTCTGGTTTTTGGTCTCTGTGATGTCTTGCTCATTGATTTGTGTCCCATGGGGTTCATGCCTGTTTGTCTGATCTCTGGTTTCTGCCTTTTTCAGAATGCATGAGAGATCAAAAAGAGGCAGGTGAGTGAAGCCACTGCTTTCTTGGGCTTCCTGGCCCCTCTCCCCAGTTGTGTTGGCTCCCTGCTCTGCCTCCTGACTCCCAGGGTGCTGCCTGGTGGGATCACAAGTGGAAGGAGGCAGACCATTCCCCAGAGCCCCCAGAGGCCATCCTCTGGGAAATGCTGAGGCCATCAGACCCTGGTACAGCTGCCCTCCCTGGTAGCTCTGCTGCCTCCTGCTAGTGAGGTGCTGAGCTGGTCCTTGCTGACCCCAGCCCTGGCTGTGTCTGCTGGATACGCTCCCCGCCCTGTGTGTGATGCTGTGGCAGGTACCAGATGGAGGACAGGGGAGAACCTGATACCCTCAAGGGTTAGTGGGTTAAGGAACAGGTCGTACAAACCTCACCCACCAGACCTGTAAGGTCCCCTCCATGGGAGAGAGGAGCTGTGTCCCATCCCCAGGACCCAAAGCCCTGCCTCCTGCTGCTCAGCTGCCAGGGTCTTCCTCTGTCCCGGAGAAGGCAGCTGTACAGGGGTAGCACGTGCCCTGTGACCCCCTGCAGAGTATGGGGTATCAGGACAAATAAAATCCTTATAATTTGTGTGAGATTCCTGCCAGATGCTGCTGCCCTGCACCCCAGGGTTCATTTCCCAATCCCCACATTCCCAATCCCCACAGTCACACCCTGCCCTCTGGATGGGACTGTCTCCAAATTCTCATCCTTCACTTACAGATCACTGCATGCGCTTGGGTTTATTACTTTGCTCACTTCTTTCAGCATTGTCCTTACTCGCCCTCCTCCCCCACTTTCCCACTCATCATTACAAGGGGATCATGTGAGGTGTCCACTCTTGTTTCTTTTCTCATGGGAGAATCACTCGTGGAGTGGCTCACAAGTTTTTGTGCTCATTAGTTGTTCAGAACAACTCCATGCGACCTTCCTGCCTCTCTGAGCAGCTGTGCTGGTTTTCCCCTTTCTCTGCAGCGGGTGCAGATCCTCCCCCTAGGAGCTCCTGGGAGTGTGTGAACCAAATGCCTCCCTGTTCTTGCAGTGGCAGGGCATTGGCAGTGCCCTCGTCTCCCCAGCTTTTACCTGTGCCCTGGTACAGCAGTCTTCATATTTGGAGCTTAGGCCTTAGGCAAGTGTGTGAGGGTTGGAAGTGGGGATCCTGGGCACTCCTGAGGTAAATGATTGTCTGTGACTGCTTGGCTCTGGACATGAAGAAAAGAAATCCTGCCAATGTGTAGTGCTCAGACCCTGCAGTAAACGTCCCTGGTAGTTCTGGGTTCCCATCACGGTCAGAGTGCCAACGTACTGGCCCCTGAGTCTGTCACAGCATCGTTGACCTGGAGAGGCAGCATGGGGGAAACCCTGTGACCCAGAGACCTGCTGCTCCCTCTCAGGATCCACAGATCTCTCCTTGGCCCCATGCAGGTACTTGGGAGAAATGCCCCTTCCCTCAGCCCAAGCATCAGCTCTAGTGACCAGTCAGTCCCTTTGCTGCAGCTTAAAATGCTGCTTTTGGCAATTTGGGGATACCTCTGTTGTGGTGTCACCCCTGGGATCACTGACAGGGTGATGGAAGTGGGGAGGGGAGTTCCCACACAGAAAATAAGCCTTGGATCTTTTTTATAGGAAGTTAAGGTCTAAGGTCCTGGGCTGGGCTGGGCTGGGCTGGGCAGCCCCCACCTGGGAGCAGCAGGCGCAGCTGACACCTGTGGAGTCCCTGCAGCAGCCGGCCTGGAGCATGCTCAGTGTGGATGGGGTCGTGGGAGAACGCATGAGACTTTGCTTCCAAATGGTCCTTAATCTGGTTCTCATTCTCATCTGTTTATTATCATTAGGTCTTCACTATACTTCCTTACCGTTCAAAGCCCTTGCACAACCGATCACCAATTTCATGTAGTCCGGAGTTTTCCTGCCATCGTGCAACACCAGGAACCCCGGCAGGGAGACAGGGGAGAAGGCGGTTCTGCCCCTCACCCAGCCTAGACCCCTGTCGGCCCACTGCCATCACTGCTGGAGAGTCCTGGACACCCCTGTGCCCTTTCTGCTCTGCCTGGGGTGTCACTACATTCCTCCTTCCAGACACTCTGATCCCAGAAGCAATTCAGTCTGAATCACGGTGATTAGCTTGTGGGAGAAGCAGATTGAACAGGACAGTTTCAAGGGAGTTGAGATGCTGAAGCCAGTGATCACACCCAGCGTTAAGAAGGTGACCCTAGGAAAGAACAATGGTCACAGGCCATGACTCAGTTTCCCTGCTCCCTACTGAACTGGACAAGGACCTTATCTCAGCAAAATGGGCGGGAATACAGAAATTTGCACCTGAACTGTATATACCCCCCACACAAAGGCAGAAGTGGGGGAGACTGGGAATTGCCTCAAATCATGAGAACAGACTCTCAGGGTCCTGAGACCTTGCCACCCACTTGTGAGTATATCTGCATGTTCTCTACTGTACATAGTTGCTCTTTCTAATGTTGCCTGAGTGATAATATCCCAATAAACTGGTCTATAGCTTGGAGGAACTTGCTCTGGCTTCTCTTGTACTTCTCCAGATAAAATAAATTGCCAGGGGCCACAGTGGACTCCCCACCCAAATGAGCAGGGGCCTGGTTACAGCTGGGTCGAGGGGGCAGTTGCTGGCATAAGTCTGGAACAGGACTTAACCTCAGAGCTCTGGGTGCTTCTCTGCCCTGAGCACTGTGCTCCTGCTGGCTTGGGTAAGCTGGGGAGTGATAGCCCCTTCTGGACAGGCCAGCATAGCCTAGAAAACCCACTTGGAGCTGGGAGATGAGATGCAGCGTGAAGTGGAGTGGAGTGGAAAGATTAGGGCTCGTGGCTCTGCTGGGACACACTGTGCCAGGGCTGAGACCACTGCTAGCACTGAGATGCAACAGATGATGCTGTCTCTGTTATTGCTACTCTGAAGGGGGCTGACCTGGACACTGGGTCCAGTGGAGCATACCCAGTGCAAAGGAGACTGGGCCTGCATTGCGCTGTAAAGGAGACTAAGCTGCAGTGTATCCTGCTGAGACCAGTTGCAGGGCAGAACCAGTTGCAGGGCAGAGGGAATCATCCTTTATCATCCAGGGCAGGGACCTACTGCTCCTGACAGTGACCCATTCTGGAGGCCAGGACTGGGGGTGACATCTTTTACTACAGCAACTGCGTGGCTGGGAGAAATTACAGGCATGGTTCCAAGACAAGGCACCTTCCCCAGCAATAGATGTGAGATGTTTTCTGTCCTTTCAGGGGAGCCCTATCGGTCCCAGCCCCTGGCAGGTGGATCCAACTAATCCATGTGGTAGCTCATAGCTAGGAGGCAGCATTGACACCTGTGTGCTGCATGTATGCAGTGCAGTTGATGCCATGGCAGTGGCTGGGGAGTGAGGGTGGTGCAGGGAGCACAGCTGGAGGGGGTGGCACTGATCTAGACTGCAGAAACAGAGGCAGCTGTTCACTCTGCACAGACCATGGGGAAAATAGCTGCAGCTGAGCACTTTTTCACAGTGTTCACCATCACTCGGCACCATGCACAGGGAGGGACATCACCTCCACCCTCTCCACCATAGCTCATGTCTCTGCATCCATGGGTGCAGTGGTGTGGGTAGAAATGATTGTGGGACACAGACTGCAGCACCAGGCAGGGGTAAGAATGGGGCAGCTGCAGAGGGGACATATCAGAGCAACAGGGCAGGGCATGGGTGAGTGCCCATGCATGAGAAGTTGCTCAGCTCCTTCCAAGGATGACTGCAGGGGGGTGAGTATTCCTCCAGTGGGAGTGAAATGGCAGGACCAGCCTCACAGCAGATCCAGGCAACAGCAATCTATTCAGGGGAGGATTCACTGCCACCCCGCTGTGGTTCCCCCTTTTTGAATGTTACAACACCTTCCCAGCTGTCCCACATCCTTACATTTTGCCCTGCTACCGCCTGTGGCTGGGGCTCCCTCCACTGCCCCAAGTAGGGGGTCCACTGCCCCAGGTACCCACAGCATCCCCACACCAGGAGAACCAATGGCCCTGCTTCAGGGCAGCTCTGCACCAACATTGCTGTCACTCTTGCTGTGTCCCCAGGGCTGCAGGAGCTGCCTGGGGGAAGCACCTGAGCCTGACGCTCTTGGTGCTCTATGGCATCCTGGAACTGGGTGCTGTGGAGGGCTTAGCCTCCCTGGCCAGGCTGGCTGTGGGTGCAGGTGGGATGGGGCTGTGGATGGAGAGGTCCCAGTTCCTCAGGGCCAGGGTGCCGGAGTCTCCTACCTGAGCAAGGACAGTGGCATGGGTGAATCTGGCTCCAGCTCCAGCTGCAGGGTGCAGCAACCTGCCTGCCCTGCCCACCCCGCCCTGCACACCTAGGGTGTATCCACACATGCAGACATGTGCACTTGCAGCAGCTCAAATAGGAGCAGCACAAATTTGTGCCAGAAATTTTTGCCTCAGCACATGTGCCTGAACATGCACTTTGGTGTGGGGCAAATTGTGCCACTTGGGGCAAGCTGACCCTGCCCAGTTCCTCCCGGATCTTCAGCCAGGGGAGCTAGAGCCTGAGGCCAGCAAAAGGGCTGGCCTCAGCAGTATAAGAAGCTGCCCTGTTGAGCAGGTCAGGGCTATTCATTCTCAGGAGCTTCTGGGGAAGGAGCCTCTGAGAGGAAGTAGGCCATGCCCCTTCCTGTCCCCGGCTGCTGCTGCTGCAAGCTTGGTCTCAGGAGCTTCTGGGGACAAGATGGCCAGGCCCCTTCCTGCCTTGGGCTGCTGCTGCTGTTGCTGCCCCGCTGCTGCTGTGGCTGCCCCCAGAAAAGGGGGCGTCTTCTGCTGCATGTTGCACACCACTGCCCCCTCCGGAGCACCGCACCACACCACACCCTAGCAATGCACCCAAGCTTCTGCACTCCTGTTTCAGCCCAATGTCCAGCCCACTGCCAAGCCACAATCAGGGTACAGCCTGGGAAGGGAGTCGGTACTGCCTGTAGACCCTTCCCCCACCATTCCTGCCAGAGCCTAAAGGTGTCTTTCCTGCCCCAGCTACCTTAGCAAGCCACCCCCTGCCTTCACGTCCACGTTCACGTTCAACTGAAGCACACCTGGAGTGGCTGAACTGGACGGCTGCTGCCACCACTGATGTTGCTGCTGCCATTGTTCTGCTGCTGCCCCGTCTCAAGAGAGAGGGTGAGTCCCTGTTGCACCACCTTGCACCACCTGACACCACACCTGCGTTGGATTATTCCCTAATTGACTGATTGCTCCTGTCCTCCTCCACAGCTGCCTCACTGCATCTGATCCTGCTTTGTTTTCTTGCCTAGTGCTCTGCTGCTAAGTGCCTGGCTGGAGGCCTGAGGGAGCTGATCTTCAGCAAACAAAACCCCTCCACTGCTCCAACCATCTCTTACATCTGCCTCAGCAGCCTTCCCTGTGTGTTTTTGCCCTTGTGTGGTAAGTCCTGTGGTCCAATCCTGCTGTCCTGGTGTTTCTTGTGTGGCTGAGTAAGTCAGCTCAAGTTTTCGCAGCATGTGCGTGTGCGTGTCCTCCACCACCATACCCAAGCATAACCCACCTGATTTCCTGTGGGGCTGTAGCTCAGTGAGCCTCATCCTCCTTTCCCCTCCACCCCCTTCTCCCACAGCCCCAGTCTGCCCCTATTTGTTTCTCTAGCCCCCCTGTACTTTTATTTTTTCTCATTAGTTTCCTCTCCCTTATGTAAACCCCTGGCAGGGCAGGAACCTTCTGGAGGGGCAGATTTCATAGATTTCATAGACATTAGGGCTGGAAGGGACCTCAGAAGATCATCAAGTCCAGCCCCCCCCCCATAGGGGACAGTAAAGAAGTTCTTCCTTATGTCCAGCCTGAAACGGTCTTGAAGTAGTTTGTGACCATTCGACCTCGTCATCCCTTGGGGCGCTCTGGTGAACAAACGTTCCCCCAGATGCTGGTGGTCACCCCTGATAAACTTGTAGGTGGCCATCAGATCACCCCTGAGCCTGCGCTTTTTCAGGCTAAAGAGCCCCAGGGCTCTCAGCCTGTCATCGTAGGGTCTGCTTCCCTGACCTCTGATCATGCGCGTGGCTCTTCTCTGGACTCTCTCAAGCTTCTCCACATCCTTTTTGAATTGTGGAGCCCAAAACTGGACACAGTACTCCAGCTGCGGCCTCACTAAGGCCGAGTACAGGGGGAGAATGACGTCCCGGGATTTGCTTGAGAAGCATCTATGGATGCAAGCCAGCGTTTTGGTCGCTTTACTAGCCGCCGCATCGCATTGCAGGCTCATGTTCATCTTGTGGTCAATGATGACCCCCAAGTCTCTTTCTTCCATAGTGCTAGCCAACATAGCACTGCCGAGCCTATAAGGATGCTGCGGGTTTTTTTTCCCAAGGTGGAGAACCTTGCATTTATCGGCGTTGAACACCATCAGATTCTCGTCCGCCCACTTGCTGAGCCTGTCCAGGTCAGCCTGGATAACCTGCCTGTCTTCTGGTGTGGATGCTTTGCCCCAAAGTTTGGTGTCATCGGCGAACTTGGCCAGTTCTGATCGCTTCTGACTCCAGTGTCCACATCATTAATGAAGATGTTGAACAGTATGGGTCCAAGGACAGAGCCTTGGGGGACCCCACTGGTCACAGGACACCACGATGAGTGACTTCCATCGATTACTACCCTCTGGGTCCGACCCCGGAGCCAATTTTCCAGCCAGTGGATCGTGGAGGACCCAAGGCGACAATTGGCCAGTTTCTCCAAGAGGCGATCATGGGACACCAGATCGAAGGCTTTTTTGAAGTCAAGATATATGACATCAATCTCTTCTCCCTTGTCCAGGTGATAGGTCACCTGGTCGTAGAAGGAAATGAGATTGGTCAAGCAAGACCTACCCGCAACAAACCTGTGCTGGCTATCCCTTAAGATGTTGGCGTCGGCCAGTCCATTAAGGATGGCCTCTTTAATAAACTTTTCTAAGATCTTCCCTGGGATAGAAGTCAGGCTGATGGGCCTATAGTTAGCCGGATCCACTTTCCTCCCTTTCTTGAAGATAGGCACCACATTGGCCTTCTTCCAGTCTTCGGGCACTACACCAGAGCGCCAAGAGTTTTCAAAGATCCGTGCTAGAGGCTGGGCTATGATGCTCGCTGGCTGTCAGGGGCCCTGCAGCAAAGTCTGCCTAAACTAAGTATAAAAGGACAGTGAAGACCAGGCCCCTACTACGCTGTATGCCATCCACATCAGCTCAGGAGAAAACTACCGGCATCCCTCCATAAGTTCATTGTGTCAAGAGGCACTGAGACTAGCCATCATGACTGAGCTGGAGCACCAGTGGTTTGGCCTGTGTGGATGTATGTGTGTGTGAATGATTTCACATAGAGCATTACTTTTCCCCACTTAACCTACGTGTGCCACTCAATAAAGACCTTGGGTGCTGAACCTGTGTGTTGGTCTTTCGTCCAACAATAGCTTTCTCCAGCTGGAAACACTCACAGAAGGTTGTTACCTCATTCTTTTTCCTGAAGGATGGAGCATTTTTTGTACATCATCAGAAAGGCCCCCAAGTTCCCTTTAGAAATTCACAGGAATTGAATGTCCAAATCCCAGAGGTGGTTCTGATCAAGTCACCCCACCCAGCTGGAGCTAATGCCGGCTCTTGCTGCTCTTCTCCAGCTATGGGCTCTGCCCCCCGTGTCTCTGCTGATGGCTACCAGGATGGAGGGATACGGGTTGGGTGTCGATCAGCTGGATGGCCCCCAGAGGCCAAGCCTTGGTGGAGAGATCACCATGGGCAGCTGTTACCACCAACCTCTGAGAAAGTTTCCAGGGATGCTGGTGGGTTTTTCCATACAGAATTTGTATTGTTATCATGAAAGCATCTAACCAGTGCATGACCAATGATGTTCTGTCAGGAACCTGCTCCTCAACCAGGAGAAAGCAGCAACAGTCGATATTGCAAGTCAGTGCCTTCCACACTGTGAGCATGGCATTGCAATAGGCAGGGGTTGTCACTGCTAGGCTCATGTGTCTGACACCTAGTGAGCCCTTTCCCCGGGCAGCATGAGAGCCCATCTGTTCTGCTCTCAGCAGGGCTTACAATAACACAGGAGTTTGCAGTATCACCGACATCAGGACTCAGGCCAAGCTCCTTGTGGCTAGGTCAAGAGCTGGGCCTGGGTGAACCCAGGGTGGGATCAGGCCACAACTCCTGCCCGAGGTTTGCAAAAAACACTGAGGACTGGTGTGCCTCAGCTTTGAGTGCCCACCTGAGACACCTGACATAGCCTGATATTCAAAGAAAGGTGCTCAGAACATCACCACTCTGAGACCCCCTCAGGCTGAGTGTCCAGGGTCACTGCAGCTGCTGTATGGGACTAAACACAGCCTAGACTGTCTCCAGCCTCCTCAACCAGCCCCAGCTGCATGTGTGCGCTCTGGCTTTTCATTCTAGAGCTGCACAATGCATACAGTGTCTGCTAGGTGCAGAAGGACATCAGGGGCAGAGTTCTCTGGGTGTGCATTAACATTACAGAAACATTACATTGCAGAGACAACAGCCACAAACTGACAGAGAGCAGTTTGAGATTAAACATCAGGAAGAATTTCTTTACTGTAAGGGTTACCAGAATCAGATCAGGCCACAGTTGGAGTACTGTGTCCAGTTTTGGGCGCCGCACTTCAAGAGGGACGCGGGGAATCTGGAGAGGGTCGAGGACGGCCACTCACATGATTAGTGGCCTTGATGATAGACCCTATGTGGGGAGGTTGAGAGAGCTGAATCTCTTCAGCCTTCACAAGAGACGGCTGAGGGGAGATCTTGTGGCCGTCTATAAATTTATTAGGGGAGGGCAAGGGGAATAGGGGAACACGCTGTTTACTAGGGCGCCCCAGGGAGTGACTAGGAATAACAGGTGTAAACTAGTTGAGAGTGGATTTAGGTTAGAAATTAGGAAGAAATGTTTCACAGTAAGGGTGGGCAGGATCTGGAATGGGCTTCCAAGAGAGGTGGTGCTATCACCTAGCTTGGAGGTCTTCAAGAGGAGGCTAGATAGTCACCTGGCTGGGGTCATCTGACCTCGGCCCTCTTTCCTGCCAGGGGCAGGGGGTCGGACACGATCCATTGTGGTCCCTTCCGACTCTGCAATCTATGAATCTATGACTCTATGAATCTAGAATGGGCTTCCAGGGGAGGTGGTGCTCTCCCCTACCTTGGGTGTTTTTTAGAAGAGACTGGACAAGCACCTGGCTGCGGTCATCTGACCCCAGCACTCTTTTCTGCCCAAGGCAGGGGTCAGACTCTATGATCTACTGAGGTCCCTTCTGACCCTAAAAATCTATTAAATCTATTACGGTCACTCATGCAAGAACCCCATAATTTGCAGTTTCCAGTTAGAGGATGCTGCCTTTCTGCTTAGGGTCAGACCAATCACCACATTTGGGGTCAGGAAGTAATTTCCCCCTGTGATATCTTTGCTACAAAGCAGAGGGGGACAGGGGTTGCCTTCCTCTGTAGCCAGGGGGAGAGCAGGAGGTGGAGGGCAGGGTCCTCTTCCTTGGATGTCGTAAGTGTATGTAACAAACATACAGAGGCAGGACACTGATAGTGCCTTTGTCCCTGGCTTTACCTGTGGCAGGTTAGCATGTTCTTGGTGTCCTTGAGCTACGTGCCTTCTGCCTGTGTGCGGGGGTGTTTGTGTAGTTTTGGAATAGCTTAGACAAGCTCTTCTCTGGGATGGTTTGGGTAGGGATGATCCTGCCTGGAGCAGGGGGTTGGACTAGATGAGACTTCCTGAGATGTCTCTCTGCCCTACTTTTCTATGATTCTGGGAGCCCATGTAAGTATGTCTCCTGTTAAATCTCCTAATAAGTATTGACCTTACTGTGTGGTCACTACTAAAGTTACCTGGTGATAGCAAAGACAGGGTCCAGCAGCATGGTTCATCTCAGGGTGTCTGATTGCTGCAACTGCTGAGATCGCCCCATGGCTCACAGGGACAGCATGAAGGGCCCTCCCCAACGCATTTGCCTTAAGGCTCAGAGAAGAGACTCCTGGGCCCCGAGTGCCCTGACTCCCTCCATGCAGGTACAGAAGAGGAGAGGAGAAGAGACACAAACCCAGATGCAGGACCAAGCTTCCAGGGAGGCAGGGGAAGGGCTGCAGTTTGGGGCTTCCCGTCAGGCCTGTGTTATGAAAGCTTCACCCCAGGGCAGGGCTCCTGGAGTTGGCCCCTCTCTCCCCACAATAGGACAGCAGTTCCCCAAGCGTGGCACAGTGTGAGGAGACCGTGCTTTTTCTGGGTCTGTGACTACACATATACAGCCCGCGCAGCTATCCCAGCACAGTGCCATGGTGCACCATGGAGAAATCTCACAAGAAACTTCACTGGTCTTTGGGTCATGTCCCCATGATCCTGCCCCTGGGGCTGCACTGATTACAGTGTGCTCCCAGACTGCTCCTGGTACCTGGGCGTGCTCTCCTGGCAGGCTCTGGTGCAAGGTCTGACTGAGTCCAACTCTGCTTCAACTATGACATGTAACACGCTCACAGCCCTTGGGAAAAGGGTGAGGGTGAATTTGCTGTTGGGCCATTGGCAGCTTCTAGGGTTAGAGA